AGTGGAAGTTGTGCTGTTGGTGGCTGCCTGGTGGTAGGGGAAGCCAGCCTGGTGGTAGGGGAAGCCAACCTGGTAGCAGCCTTTCCTGGCTATTTGACCCTCAGCCCAACATTTTTGTGATTAATATGTTTTTTGCTCTGTTGTGTGAAGTGTCCTGAAAAGATGAGAGGAAAATTATTTGTAATAAAAGCAATCAAGTTGGAAAGATTTGTGGAAAAGTAAAAGGGATAATCCTGATTTGCGGCAGACAAGTTAAAAATCTCCTGCAGTGCATCACATCAGCCCTCCTACATAACAGCACAATGTTGCCACTTCATTGTTTAGCATGGCTGAAAGAAAAGAGAAAGAGACAGGACAAATTGTACAACCACAAGTATTCAAACAATGCTCTTAATCTAAGTGAAGCAATGTGCTCTGTTGGCTTGGTAAAAGATTTATAGTTCTTTAAAGTATAACATTGCCCTATCCCAGCAAAAGATGTGCTCGTGGAGGAAAGAGCTTGACACAACTAGCATGTGGCTTAATTAGGGTTGCCAACTTTCTAATAGCAGAAAAGCAAACACGCTTGCCCCGCCCCTTCCCCGAGGCCCTGCCCCTGCCCCGCCCATTCTCCAAGGCCCTGCTCTTGCTCTCTCCATCCCCCTCCCTCCCTTGCTCGCTCTCCCCTACCATCACTCACTAGTTCATTTTCACTGGGTTGGGACAAGGGGTTGGGGTGCAGGAGGGGTGAGGGCTCTGGCTGGAAGTGATGGCTCTGGGGTGGGGCCAGGGATGAGGGGAGGAGGTTCTAGGCTGGGGCTGAGGGGTTAGGAGTGCAGGAGGGGGCTCAGGGCTGAGGCAGGGGGTTGGGATGAGGTGAAAGCTCCAGCTGGGGGTGTAGGCTCTGGGCTTGGAGTGGGGGAGGGGGCTCAGGGCTGGGGCAGGAGTGAAGGAGGGGTGAGGGCTGCGAGTGACAGCTCTGGGGTGGGGCCAGGGTTGAGGTTCCAGGAGGATGTTCCAGGCTGGGGCCGAGGGGTTCGGAGTGCAGGAGGGGGCTCTGGGCTGGGGCAGGGGGTTGGGGTGTGGGCTCCAGGCTGGGACAGGAGTTTGGGGGGCAGGGTGTGGGCTCCAGAAGGGAGTTTGGGTGCAGGAGAGGGCTCAGGGGGTTGGGGTACAGGAAGGGGGGAGGGTGCAGCAGGGGGGAGGGGTGCAGGCTCCAGGTGACGCTTACCTTGGGTGGCTCCCCAGAAGTGGCGACATGTCCCTCTGACTCTTAGGCAGAGGCACGTCGAGGCGGCGCTGCACGCTGCCCCCCCACCCGCAGACGCTGTCCCCGGAGCTCCCATTGGCCGCAGTTCCTGGCCAATGGGAGCTGTGGAGCCAGCACTCAGGGTGGGGGCAGTGCACAGAGCCCCCATGGCTGCCCCTATGGCTAGGAGCCAAACATGCCAGTAGCTTCCTGGGAGCCACGCAGAGCCGGGTAGGGAGCCTGCCTGCGCTGCCAACCAGACTTTTAACTGCCCGGTCAGCAGTTAGCTGACTGGAGCCACTATGGTTCCTTTTTGACCAGGTGTTCCGGTCGAAAACCAGTCACCTGGCAACCCTAGGCTTAATGTAGCTGTGTTGTAGTGTTTATTAATATCCACTGCAATTGGTTTATAGAAACATCTGCTCAGAAGCAAGAGAATCCCAAAGCATATGTTATCGTTCGTTTGTTTGTGAAATCTTTACGTGGTGGCTGTCATGATATCTGGCACACATTTTAAAATCATTTTCCCGTATATTTTTTTTTAAAAGGCCATGTGATTATTTTGAGAGGGCAGGGGAAGCACACAGAACTGGATTTTTGCAGATTATAGATACAGGTGTACATGTTACGAACATTAAAAAGGCATTTTGCTGAATAGTGCCCTTAGTTGTGATGCTGTAGCTAACACAAGGGAAACCAGTTTCCTACATTCTTTAATCCTCAAAGTGCTACAAACATGGCCCAGATCCTCAAAGGTATTTAGGTGCCTAACTTCCAATGATTTCAATAGGAGTTGGGTAATGAAATACCTTTGAGGACCTGGGCCTATTCTTTCTTAGTGCTCCTTAGTAGGGCGCCAGAGCCAAGGAAAATCATTTTTCACTCCCTTACCCACTTCTACCCCTTCTTTCCCCCTTCCTCAAAAACAACAAGACCCTTCCATCTCTTCTAACCCCCTGCCAAAAGATTGTCTTTTATGCTGGGTTTCAGTAGTGCCAGTGTCAAAAATGGCCACTTTTCAACAAGTTGGATAAATTCATAAATACTAATTTGATCATTTGGGATTTAGATGGCGCCGCTCATCCAGATGAATCCCAAAGTGCCTTATGGTGTGCCTACACTGCAAAATGAGACCACTGGTAGCGAGTCTTGGAGACCAGGTCCAGCTGACTCAGGGACAATGAGCTATTGGTCAAAAACTAGCAGTGTAGACACTGGGGCTCAGGCTGTATCCTGGGGTCTGAAACCCACCTTTTCAGAGTCAGTTGACCTGCGCTCGGAGACTCACTGCTGCAGGTCATTTTTTGCAGTGAAGACGTCTCCTTACAGGCATGACTCGATTTAATAACAACACTTTTAAACCTCTAAAAATTACCAAAAAATTATTCTGTATAAAATAATGTAGTGATTTTAGGGTCTGGTATTTCTGGATTTTCCAGGACTAGAAGCAAGTACTATGTATCCCAGCAGGAAGTTGGAAGTTTCCTTTTTCCAGTGATATAGGTCACTCCTTTCTAACCCTGAAGTTACCTCAGTCTGCCATTGATCCAGGACTACATACTATCTTTGGCTGCAGACCAATGTAATTTTATGGGAGACATTTCAGATTTCGTGCAGGGTGGGGAGATGAAGAAGGATATATTTACCTAGCAGGCATATATGTGTGCGTGTCTTCTTTTTTTTCACATTGGCAGCTGGTTGAAACTGCTCAGAGGAGATGTTTTAATGGGCAGAGTGCAGGTGACTGCCATCAAAGGTAATACACTTGGCTCTGCTATTTACCCACACTACTTTGTGAGAGGAAGAATGGTTTGGGCCAAGATTTTCAAAAGCAGAAGCCTAAAGTTAGGCTCCTAAACCATATTTAGGTACCTGCCTGATTTTCAAAAGTGCTGTCTGCCCAGTAGCTCCCACTGACCTATAGGCAATACAGTAATAACAAATAAGCATGCATGTGCATATAATATAAAATGTGAATCACTTCATTTGGTATTGAAGTGCAGCCACTTCTGGGGTGAAACATGGCAGATGCTTAATATGTCACTACAGCTCTCTGCAGCAGCATATGGCAGGAAGTGAAAAATGTCATAGCCAAATGAAACCGCAGGGAAGATTTAGTGAGGTGAGATATAACTACCACTGTTGGAATCTGTGCAGGACCCGGGGGCTAGCTCTCTGCCTTTGTAAATTTGAATTAATTTTAATTTAACACCTGATGGTAGTGTTTCATGCCAGGGGTAACTGGAGGATTGCCAGGGCTGGCTCCAGGCACCAGTATTCCAAGCAGGTGCTTGGGGCGGCAATGTGCAAGGGGCAGCAGTCCGTGTGTTTTTGCCACCCCAAGCAGCGCGCTGAATTGCCGCCGCGGACGGCGGGGGCAGTCCGTGTGCCGTTGGGGCTGCATGCGCGTTTCTGTGGTGGCGGCAATTCGGCGGCAGCTTCTATGTTAAGCTGCCCGCGGCGGCAATTTGGCGGCTTCTGTCTTCCGGCTGAAGACAGAAGCTGCCGCCGAATTGCCGCTGCTGCGGAAATGCGTGTGCCGCCCTAACGGCACACAGACTGCCCCCACCGTTTGCGGCAGCAATTCGGCGCGCTGCTTGGGGCAGCAAAAATAGTAGAGCCCGCCCTGAGGATTGCTGACACCATTAGAGGCAGCGGTTCCTCAGCAAAAACATATCTGCGAAGAGGAGGAAAGAAAAATGGGCTTCGGATTCACTTTTGATTCACTATTTGCACCCATGTAGAGTGACCAGATAGCAAGTGTGAAAAATTGGGACGGGGGTGGGGGATAATAGGAGCCTATATAAGAATAAGCTCCAAATATCGGGACTGTCCCTATAAAATCAGGACATCTGGTCACCCATCCCATAGCGGCTATTCTTTTTTGGGGGAGGGGAGGAGCGGCGGGGCTGAGTCCCCAGCCTATGTGCAGGCAACAGACTGCTGCATGTGTGTGTCAGTTCCCACTCTCCAGTGCGTACTGTGTGGGAGCTTGCTGTCTCTATCCCAGCCCAGTGAGGAGTTGAGGCGGGGAGGGCTTGGAGAGCTAGCCCGCCCTACACTCTCCCTGCAGCAGCGGCACCTGTCCTGTGAGGCTGGGCCTGGCTTCCCTCTCTGGCCCATGGACTCTAGCTGATTTGGAGGAGCCTCTCACGGTGTCATGTGATGCACATGCCCATGTACAGGTGGGGCCCTTACTCTATGATTCCCTGTCCCCTTCCTGGCCCTGGTACTGCTGGACATGGGCTGTCACTGGCCAAGCTGGGCATACATGCAGTGGTGGGGTGGCAAGGCAGAGATAGATTGAGGGGGGGAGGGACTAAACCCCCTCTAGCCATAGCCACTCGGCACCTATGTCTGTAATGTTTCAGTGGGAAAATATGGAAAGACCCGCTGGAGAAACAAAGTCCATTTTTCTGGATTCTAGATTAGCCGAGTTTAAATTACCCCAAATGCCGTGCTGATATTTTGTTCGTGTCAGTGATGCATTGTGAAAGCAGAACAGTATTGGGGGAAAAGAATCCAAATTGGAATCCAAATTGGAGTTGTGAAGAAACGAAAAAAAGTGTGTGAAAAGAGGACAACTCAGTCTCGTTTGCTGTAAAAAAACACAAGTAATGAACCAGTTTTTATTTATGATATTGCAAATATCCACAGTTGACAACCAAACACTTCACACGTCAACAATTCTTACATTGAAATCCATTGAACCTACAGTATTACAACATTCCAAGCAAAGAAAAATTAATACCTGAAAGAAAGTACCTTGTATAACATAAACCCTCTGAATTTCAGAATGAACTTTGTTGACCCATTAGATTTGCCATTTGAATGGAGAAAATCCACTTTTCTCACAGCAGTTCACAAGCTTTGGAATAAATAAGTCCCTCCACCGACCCATTAATAAAGATCCAAAAGCTAATGGTGGAGTATAGGTGTCTACCGTAACTCATCCATAGGTTCTCCAGAAAAACAATACTGACCTACAGAAGGGTCCCTATGATAGTCTGCAGAGAAGTTGTAGAAGAAAGCTCTATTTGTACTATCCTGAAAATAACGGAAAGCATCTAGTGTCACTTTTCCTGGCTATCTTGCTGACGTGGCCCCAGTTCCTCAATTGCTGCCAAAGGACTTGAATGAAATGATCTATACCTGAGAGAGGGAGCTCAGAGGGATTAGCTGTCTATTTATTAACAGGTGGAGATTAAAACAATTAAATATCATGGATTCCTGATGCAGTTCCCCCTCTGCTGTGTAATCAGAAGTACAGTTAAGCTAGCTTGAAACAGTGCTGCTACCACCTCTTTAATGCCCAATTTATGTCAGTTCCAGAACACAGCACCTTGCGTCTCATCATGAAAAAGTGCTACGTGGGGATTTGATTGTTGGTCTGTGTCAGCCAATGGTCAGCAAATATGCCTCGAACAGCTTCATTACTGTATTATATTTAGTTCACTCAGAGCACTGTATACTTAAATGGAACTAAACATATACTAAAGCTACAGTATACTGCTTAACTTCAAGTGGGTCTGCCTCCTTTTCCATACTTTTAAAGACTGGGAATGTTTTGGGCCCATTTAATTATTTTATTTTTTGCTACGTACTAGGTATTATTATTAGGTATTACTACTGAAATGTCTCTGTAAAGAAAATTCTAAATTGTGTTTGATAGGAAAGTGCAATTTACAGGATAAAAGGGAAAAAAAGATGTTGACTCCATGTTTCCTTGTTAAAATACTTCTCCATCAGAATGTTAACTATTGAATAAAAGAAGATTTTGAATGGTCTGTTCTCTATCCCATACATGACACACCTCAGCAACCAATCAGAGGCCTGTTGTCATTCTCAGCAGTAGGGCTAATAGCTGTAGGGCTGCTATTGCAGTACCCATACAAATTTGTGTACAGAGAGAGGAGGCAGCTTATGTGTGCAGTTGATTAGCTGCTTGTCATCAACTTTTGGTCTGTAGAAACACAAAGCACTAGTGCAAAATACCTCTGGCCAGGTCCTCAGCTGGTATAAATTGGCACAGCTCCATCGCAGTTCAGTGATCTACAAGAATTCACACTAGCTGAGCATCTGGTCCTATATTACTTAGTAGCAGGACATCCTAACTGCACCCACCATGGAGTGGAGCAGTAAGAAAAGAAAACTTTTTCTTTCTGTACACTGTACTCTCATTTACAATACTGTGTAATTAAGAAACTTTAAAAATATATATAGAGCCACAAAATATCCCTGCATCTTGCCAGCAGATTTTTTTATTAACTATAACATTCTGAGCTAATATTCACAATCAGAACTGGCAGAGAAGTTAGAAATTTGGATGGGCTAAATTCTAACCTGCAGTCTCACACCTTGACAAGCTCAATCCCTGACAAGCTATCATAATTTTCCTCTGTAAAAAGAGGTATCCCTTTTCCCCTATAAGAAAACAAGGCAACATCATGGTAACCTTGCGCATTACAGATGTATAGGCTTTTTTGTGTGCGGCTCCTGTCATACTGATCAGAAAATAATGCTTAGCACATCACTACAAAACAAGAAGGTACACAGTGTCGTCGGTCTGATTTTAAAAACACACAAACACACAGAAAACATAAGGTTGTGCAATTTTTTTCAAATCAGAGAAAATCACACACTTAAAAAAATAGATTTGTCTTAGTCATCACCAAAAGTAAGAAAACATACTATTTCCCAGCATGCCATCTCTATTGTAACAGCATTGCTGAGCACACAAACACACACACACTGAGTTAACTCACAATAGTCTCCATTTGGAGTCTCATCCTGGTTCCATTGCGCAAAACTCCCATTGATTTCAGTAGGAGCAGGATTGGGCCCTTTGTTTCCATAGTTCCCAAGTCAAAGACTAAAAAGAGAAATAATTTCTCCTGACTCTCTCACTTGCCTGGAATTGAAAATATAGACCCTGCAACCAGGGGTGCTGGAACAATTTGTATAGTAGCAGTGCTGAGAGCCATTGAACCAAACTGTAAACCCTGTATATGATGGAATCCACTTCAAGCCAGGGGGCAGCAGCACCCCCGTACTCCTAGTTTCAGCACCTCTGCCTGCAACATGCTGAGAGCCCGTAGCTCAGCAAATAAAGGAACAGGCTTAATTCACTGCCTTTTCTCATTAAAATTGGGTACATTTTGGTAGCTTTAATGAACTGTTGTTTACATCTAAATATCACTGCTCCTATGGAAAAATAATTATCCTGTCTTGGTGTTGCATGTAATATCTGTGTGAACATGTATAAACTGCATCCCATGTGTACAGCATAAACAAATATGTATATATATACCCAGACAAAATCTACTGTACATATTTAGATTTTAGGCAAAAACGCAGTTCTCAATCATTGTGTAATTTCTAAAATGCCCAAATCACAGCGGTCTTTCCAAACTCGTTTGTGAAACACAGCAGCTTACTCAAGTCCATATGAACAAGAATAATGTAGCATGTATATTTTGTAGGTTTCTCTTTACATTTTACACACTGGGTGCCAAGAGCCATAAAACCCAATTATCCAAATTGGTGGGTGGAGTGGAGAAGGGAAATAGAAAGGAAGTGTCTGTGGTATAAAAACGCCTAGAAATAATAATCCATGCAATGCCAAGAGGGATGGATGAGCGAGTGCTATTAAACCTTTTCTCTCCTTGTTCAAAAATCCTAAATAGTAATGGAAACACCATGATGGGGGCTTAAAAAATAAAAATAAAAAAACAATGGGCTCAATTCACAAAAGGACTTAGGAGCTTAACTGCCACTTTAGGTGCCTAAATCCCAGAATCAGGCAACAATAGGATTCACAAATCCCATCCCAGTCCCAGCTGCCACCAAATCCTGGAGGTGCCTAAACTCACTCAGCACCTAACTTTTAGCAGTAAATATTCCCTGGGCACCTATGAACATGCACACTGCAGCCCCACACCAGGCGTCCAGATACTTAACGCTAGAGTGATGCATGAACCGAGGAAAGACAGGAGTTCCTCTGCCTAACTTTCCCCCAGGGCACAATCTGGTAAACATCTTCAGAGCTTGCCTACCGGATTGGGCCCCTACACATGAGCATACACAAAATGGCTGGAGGTGGGCAAAGAGGAGGCCCTCCTTTCAATGTTTTAGCCCAGTGGTTAGGGTGCTTATACCTGGGATGTGGGAGCCCCCAGTTCTAGCCCCACCTTCACTAATGGGGTGGGTGGGGGGTGGAAGAGTTTTGAACTGGGACCTACCACCTCTGAGTGCCCAAACCACTGGGCTCAACGTTATGTGGGTGGTCTTCCCCCTTAACTACCAACATCTTGCTAAAGCAGTGTAGATAACCCTAAGAGAGGGTTTGCACCTGAGAATCGCAAGCCAAATGAGGTACCTCCCTGCAGCCCAGACTTCAACACCCATCTCACTGACAGGGATCAGGCTTAGCACTCTCTCCCCCCCTAATTTTGGCATCTCCCAATGGCTAGCCTGGGTGAGGAGCTGCCTAGCCTGCTGGCTTTTGTGAATCCGACTCTGAGGCGCCCATCGCCCTCCATTCACTGTACAGGGAGCCTAGGCCCTGAACTCAGGCTTTGTGAACCCTAGGGAGTTTCTAGGGACCTAAAAGTTAGGCGTGATGATGCTGAGGATTTTTGTGACTCTAGCCCCATGTCTCCATAGTAACCTGCATTACAAAACACTATGCCCAACAGGGCAAATATTGCTCTCATTTTCACACACACATTGGCCTCAATGGAGTTGCACAGGTGAAAATGAAGGCTATATGTGTCCCAGCAGATATAGGGAATGATTTTAACATAAGATCCCTGCTTTCATGGGTGCAAATTTGCAGACATACATTTACAACAGTCACATGTTAATACTGTGATTTTTGAACACTATCAAGTAGACAGACACATAGGACCAAATTCGCTGCCCCTGGAAATGGGCAAAACTCAGCTGAAGTAACTACAGCTGTGTCCATTGACAGCAGCAGAGAATTTGCCACATAAATACCACCATTTATGTCCGCAAATAGTTGTGGGTACAAAAGTGTAATCACAATTTTGCACCTTAAAAATCAGGCTGGGTTGGGAACTTTTTTAAAAAAAAAATCAGATCTGTAGAGTTTAGCTGGTGAAGCTTATTGATTGGATAAGCCATCACCCTTAGAAATAGGGAACAAGCTGTACATTAAAGATGTAAAAAATACAACATCGGAAACATCATATGGTCCTGATCATATTTTGACTTGTTCAGACTTTGCAGTACATTTGTACAGCTGTTTAACCTTATGTTCGCTGCTTTCTCATATGCAGTATTCTTTTAAATGCACATGGGTAAGTTGCTGCTATTAGCCAATTCCTGTAACATTTCCAAATTTGCTTACCAACACCTTTAAGGCCAGTGACCCTTAGCAAAGGGGCTTCCAGTTTAACCTCATTCCAATGTGAGTTTTGTTGTGTTTATAAGACTCTCCATCAGTACTTTCATGAATATATCAATCCATGTGATGCCCTCAAGCATTTGTAGCCTGCACACACAATTTCTAAATGTCAAATAAACTTGGCAGCTCTTTATAACATCTCTAGTGCAGATCAATCCTGTGTTTCGTTTCAGAAAGCCAAATTCTTTGCAGCAGCTTGAGTGTTAGTTTTGACTTGCTTCTTAGCTGAGTGGTAATCTGTAGAATAGCAAACAAACAGAATTAGAAACTGCTGAAGTGGTGAATGATGTTTTAAAGAAATGTCAGGTAGGCTTCTCTAAGGCCCATGAGGGAACAAAACTAATACCTTTAGTATGTTCCATATAAAGCTGTGTAATACCAAACAAACAAAGGAAATGTGCTGGCTTTTATTCAGCATAGATCAAAGGACGTTGGACTCTCTTATATAAGCTGAGCAATGTGACATTTTACTCTCTGACTTTTAGATCCAGTACAGTAGTGTTTTCTGGTCAGAAACAGTTGTTTTTCAGTGCTCTTTTGCCACCTTAAAAAAGATCTGCAGTTTAGAATAACATCAGAAGAATTATAATTATGCTGAACTTTACTAATAACGTTCTACTTATTACATCAAATAAGAACTCTAGGAAGACTGCAAATAACCTTGCAATAACACTGAATTATTATTCATTCTGTACTCAGAGAGTAAGGGCTGTAATTATGGGGAAAATATTCTGTATTTTTCATCCATAGCAAAGTGATTTAATTCCTGCTTCAAGTGCAAAACTCAACCTAACAACAGAACCATGACCGGCTTTCCATAATTTGTGGAAACACTAAGCAGTGATTTTTTTTCTAATACAGAAACAAAGACATTTTTCAGGTAGTTAACAGGACAAATGTAGCTGAAATTAAATTGAAAGTTTACTCACATTTACAGGCAGGGATCCGCATCCTCAGCTGGTGTAAACTGGCTCCATTGGCTTTAATAGAGCTATTCCAATTTAAACCAGCAGAGGATTTGGCCCTCATGATGTTTTAACTTCACTTTCTCACATAACCAAAATGGCAATGTACGTAGTAAATATTCATGGAGTCCTAGCAGCTTACGGTTGTATTCATTTCTACAGAGAATACTACTGGCAGAGGATACTCCCTGGAATTCTATAGGTTTTCACAGCCAAGTTCTGCAAAGACAATCCTGCATCCAATTTCATTACGTTCTGCTTGTTGATTTATGATGAGGCTAATATGTATAGTGATGACCCAAATTAATACCACATATTGTTGGGAGTCTGAGCAGCTAATTTATGAGGAAGAAAAGGCCTGCAAATGTCACAAGAAGTTCTTGGTGGGGAGGAAGGGGAGAGGAGTAACAATAATAAGTGGGATATCTGAGTTCTCACAAAGTATAATCCTCACAACTGTTAATTCTTCTAGTCATGAGACTTTATATATACACTGTCCTCCAGTTTGTACTGGGGAGGAGAGATATATCGTGGATTATACTTGGTGGGTCAAATTCATAAGTGACAAATTCATAAGTGTTATCCTCACTTTCATCAATGGTGAATTTTAGCAAGGGTAAAATTTTCAAAGGCATCTAAGTAATTTAGGAGCCCAAGTTCCAATTTCAAAAGGGACTTGTGCATGTAGGAGCCAAAGTCTTGATGGAAGTCAGTGGGACTAAGGCTTCTTAGGACCAGATCCTCAAATGAATTTAAGTGCCCAACTCACATTGATTTCAGTGGAAGTTAGGGACCTAATGCCTTTGAAGATCTGGGCTCTAAGTGCCTAAGGGGATGTCTATACTAGAAATGCTACAGCAGCACAGTTGCACTGCTGTAGTGAAGGGGTTCTTCCATTGCTGTAATAAATTCACCTCCTCGGGAGGCGGTAGCTAGGTCGATGGAAGAATTCTTCATTAACCTCGTGGTGACGACACCGGGGCTTAGGTCGGATCTTTCGGGGGTGTGTGTGAATTTTCACACCCCTGAGTGATGTAGCTAGCTCAACCTAACTTTGTAGTGTAGACTAGTCACTTTTGAAAATTTTACCCACTATCTTGAAACCACTAGTCCAGTAGATGGACCTAACCTCACTCCCTGTGTAGACACAGCTGAGTCAGCAGAAAAGTTCTTCAACAACCTAGCTACTGCCACTCAAGGGAGGTGGCTTACCCCTTTCCATCACTGTAGAAAGCACCTACACTATGGCACTCCTGTGGCATAACTGCAGTGCTGCTGCAGGACCCGTAGTGTAGACATGACTAAAATCAACTCCACAGTGCTCTGAAAACAAAAGGATGAGAGCTGGCATGTGAAAGTGGGAGGCTGGTTCTGCATGGAAAATGTCTTTCCTTCCCTTGGCTCCTTCTCTAGCTCTGGCCACTGATGCATCTTGAAATCCGGTTTACAAAAAAGACAGCTCACTTCAGTTCCTGGAAAAGGCCAGAATAAAGCCTAGCTGTATTGTAAATCTGCAGCTGTGAAGCACTCTCATGGAATCAGAACAGAGGCTGGATCTGATGGTATGCATGTGTCAAATGAGCTGGGAATATGGCAAAACTGCATTTTTATCGGTTAATTAATTCTCCCTGCCCAAGGAATCAGATACAGTGAGAAAGCTTCAGCTCCTCCCACTCTAGTGGCTCCAGTGTCCACAGAACCCATGTTGGTTTTGAAGACATTGATATTTATTTAACTAGACCACTGCTGGTTAATAGTGTCAATTAAATGCACCATTGCAGGAACTTAATGCAAAGCATTACTGAGTTCTGCTTGATTAAATGAGATAGCAGATACCTGTGTTCAGAACCCGTCTAAAGTTTAGTCCACACTCTCTGGGATGACAGAGGTTGGGGAGTGTGGCACAGAGAGTGGGTTTGGTCCCTGGGGGTAGGCATCACTCTGGATGACTAATCCAGCTGTCACATGGATTAGTCACGTCTTGTTCCAGAGGGAGCAGAGTACAGATCTTCTGAGTTGATGGGAGATTTTGATGTACTGTTGAGATGGTGATATGGAGGATAAATGGGTGCTTGTGAGAGAAAGAGAGAGAGAGAGAGAGAGAGAGAGAGAGAGAGAGAGAGAGAGAGAGAGAGAGAAATTGAACGAGCTCAAAGTT